CCCACTGACAAGAAGGCCGTGCGCCGATTTCTGGGCCTGTGCGCCTATTATAGGCGGTTTGTGAAAAACTTCGCCCGCATCGCCGATCCTCTCACTAACCTTACCAAGGCCGACGCGGAGTTCAAGTGGGAAACGCCACAGGAACACGCTTTCCAGGAGCTTAAACATCGCCTCCAGACGCCTCCGTTACTTGCCCATTTCGACGAATTTTGTCGAAACAGAAATACATACTGACGCAAGCAGCGTAGGTCTTGGCGCCGTTCTTGTGCAGAGGGCTGACGGACTTGAAAGGGTTATTTGTTACGCCAGCCGGTCGCTATCCAAAGCAGAAGCAAATTATTCCACAACAGAAAAGGAGTGCCTCGCCATCATCTGGGCTACGTCGAAATTTCGCCCCTACCTCTACGGCAGGCCCTTCAAAGTTGTGAGCGACCACCACGCCTTGTGTTGGCTAGCCACCTTGAAGGACCCTTCAGGTCGCCTCGCACGGTGGAGCCTGAGACTTCAAGAATATGACATTACTGTCATTTACAAGTCCGGCAAAAAACACTCCGACGCTGACTGTCTCTCTCGTGCGCCTGTCGACCAACCGCTACCCGACGACCCGGATGACGACTACTTCTTGGGAACGATAACTACCGACGACTTCGCTGAACGACAGTGGGCCGACCCGGAACTTAAGGCCCTAATAGAATACCTCGAAGGCAGGACCGCCGAAGTCCCGAAGGTATTCAAGCGCGCACTTGCGTCGTTCTTTCTACGAAACGGTCTTCTACAAAAGAAAAACTTTTCACCGCTTCGAGCTAAGTACCTCCTTGTGGTGCCTTCAGCTCTGCGACCAGAATTCTTGCAGGCCCTGCACGACGATCCGACGGCAGGGCACCTCGGTGTTTCCCGCACGCTCGCGAGGATACAAGAAACGTACTACTGGCCACGTCTTACCACCGACGTCACTCGTTATGTGAGGACATGCCGGGACTGTCAGCGACGCAAGACACCGCCGATAGGCCAGCGGGACTTCTGCAGCCAATTAATCCCCCTTGCCGACCTTTCCAGCAGATTGGTATGGACCTACTGGGGCCGTTCCCGACGTCGGCTTTCGGAAACAAGTGGATCGTGGTAGCTACCGACTACCTCACCCGCTACGCCGAGACAAAAGCCCTGCCAAAAGGCAGTGCATCCGATGTAGCTAAGTTCTTCGTCGAAAATATCATCCTACGTCACGGCGCCCCGGAGGTCCTTATCACCGACAGAGGAACGGCATTCACTGCCGACTTAACTCAAGCGATCTTGGCATACAGCCAAACAAACCACCGCCGGACGACAGCGTACCACCCACAGACCAATGGCCTCACCGAGCGGCTTAACAAGACGATCGCCGACATGCTGTCAATGTACGTCGATGTCGAACACAAGACGTGGGACGCCATTTTTCCATATGTGACCTTCGCATACAACACGGCGGTGCAGGAGACGACACAGATATCTCCATACAAATTGGTCTACGGAAGGAGCCCGGCAACGACGCTCGATGCCATGTTACCCAACGTCACCGACGAAGAAAACCTCGATGTGAGCGAGTACCTTCAACGCGCCGAAGAAGCTCGACAACTTGCGCGTCTCCGTATCAAGAATCAACAGACGACCGACAGCCACCGTTACAACCTTCGACGACGCTTCGTGGAATACCAGCCCGGTGAACGTGTTTGGGTGTGGACGCCGATACGCCGACGTGGACTAAGTGAAAAGCTTCTGCGACGGTACTTCGGACCGTACAAGGTGGTTCGACGTCTCGGCCCACTTGATTACGAAGTTGTCCTTGACGGCATCACGAACTCTCAACGACGCCGATCGCGACCTGAAGTCGTCCATGTCGCGCGCCTCAAACCGTTTCATGCACGTTAATAAACTGAAACAGTGTGTTTTGTAATATTGTTGTATTGTAATTTATTCATTGTACTTTCTTGCATTATTATTGTACCTTCATCTTTAGTTAAAGCATCGGGACGATGCCTTTTTTTTCAGAGAGGGGCAATGCCACGTTCCAGTTCCCAAGTTTTGTTATCGTTCCGAAACACCACACGATTCTGGGCGCAAACCGCGCCTGCAGGTTTCGAGAAGGTTCCGGACTGTAGTAGATCATTTCGATAAGATCACGCCCATTGTGCGAACGGTACAGATTGTTCTGGAACCTACGCCACCGCCAGCGATAACGCTAGAACATTCGACGGCAAGGGTATAAATGCCGACGCGCTTCGCCGCTTGTCAGTTGTTGATCGAATGCCGACGCTGTGTTCACCGCTATCAGTCCGAGACTGCTATCTGTGCAAGACTGCTACTGTAATTAGACTTTCCCTTTACCGGGCACAGGTTCGCCCAAATAAACAGTTAAATCCCAACACGAAGTTTCCTGTCTTTGGCCACGTCACGACCCCGTGACAATATATTCTCTCACGTAAAAAAAATGTATTTTTTACTGATAGCATTTTAGAAGCAACATCAGCGCAGAAACACTGTTCAGTGTCCTTGTTTTTTTTTCTTTTATGTACGTACCTTTATATCTATAAGCATTACTGAGGTAGTCAATGCGCCTCTACTTACGAAGGTTATTTTTGTCGTGTAGCTTTGTTGGCAATGCTTTATTTTATTTCAATGCTCATTAATGAGCAGTCCTGCCGATTAGTCGTGCAGCTGACTGTTTAAGCGATGAAATTGGTTCTATGCTCTGGCTCCCACAAATCGGCAAGTTTATAGAACAGCAATTAGGATTATACAACATTTAGGTAGTGAATATGGTGGCAGTGAAACTGCTTCAATGCTGAATCTTGCTCCAGATGGCAGAAGTTGGCTTTTTTTTTCAAAAGAATAGCATATATAAACTGAAAAATAAACTTGTATTAGTAGGTCAAGTTTTCAAACAAACATCAGTGATGCAGTATGTACAACATTCTGATTCTAGTGAAACATTTTCTAAAGAACAGCAGCCAAAATATCACAGGATCGAGAAGTGTACATAACAAAAAGTCATAAGGATGTTGCCCATAAAAGGCAAAGCAAAACCAATTTATTTGAACTTAGCTTCTATTAGCGCGGCACATATGAAAAGGAAAGAGGAAAGAATACAGAGACGTCAAGACAGGTAGGCGCTAAACTTCCAACTGTTTATTTCATGCCCTTGACACCCATCTTATACATGCGTAGAAACACGACTCATCTTGCACGTGGTGACATCCCAAGAAACGTCATTTCCTTATCTGTCAAAGCAATCGAAGGTGAACTCACACACAAGTTTCCCATTTTTTCTATTGCCTCGGCTTCTTTGATCTCACGTGTCAGCTGATTGCGAGACCGGCTGATAACGGTGCAGCTATACAGATCAGGGGAGCACCCACACCCCTTGCAGTGCGCCCCTGATCTGTATAGCTGCACCGTTATCAGCCGGTCTCGCAATCAGCTGACACGTGAGATCAAAGAAGCCGAGGCAATAGAAAAAATGGGAAACTTGTGTGTGAGTTCACCTTCGATTGCTTTGACAGATAAGGAAATGACGTTTCTTGGGATGTCACCACGTGCAAGATGAGTCGTGTTTCTACGCATGTATAAGATGGGTGTCAAGGGCATGAAATAAACAGTTGGAAGTTTAGCGCCTACCTGTCTTGACGTCTCTGTATTCTTTCCTCTTTCCTTTTCATATGTGCCGCGCTAATAGAAGCTAAGTTCATGGATAACCAACTCGCCCGAGCCACAACACTTTTGAACCAATTTATTTGTTTTCTGTGAATGCTCACCAAGTAGAAGCAGCAGCTGATTTACAGGCTTTTAAATAGAAAATTGTTCTCAGTGGGCCAGCAACACTTATTTGTAATCACATTAGTACAATATGATAGAGCTTTCTGTGCACAGCGTATCCAGAACTGCTGACATTTTCTAGAAACAAATAGCTGACCTGTAAAAATAGCAATACATAAATTAGAATGTTGATGAATGTAACATGTTTAGAAGCTTCGAAAACGTCTCTACTATATGCAGTGGTGCCAACAGAAGGATAATCTTGTCTTAACAAAACAGCATCAATTCATCGGAATATTCATTGCACATTCTGTGAAGTACTTGTAGGACTGGCAAAAGTATGCCTTCGTTGCAGAAACTTGTGATTAAAATTCACAAAACCAAGTAAGTATTTAGGCCCGATTATTTCTTGTAAGCAGCATTTTTCGGTGTGAATTTCATAAAGTTCCTGTTGGACAACTGGAGGAATCGTGCGTTTTTGTGTAATTTATAAATAGTCTGACAAGTGGCACTCATACCCGTGCCACACGGGCATAGAAAATGACATTTGGTGGCGAAGGCCTTCAGTTCCCGAATGACATTTGTTTCGCCGGCGCTGCTACACGTCCAAAGCGAATGACATTTGACTTGATGATGTCGATCACAGCACCTTCCAAGTGAGCATTGAGTGAATAGCAATAAAAAATTAGGAAGCATTTACAAGCTTCATACACATCAGATAATCATCAAATGTAGAAATAAGCGTATTACGCTGTCCTAAGTTTTAGTTTCTTGCTTTGTTTTATAACATTGCAGCCGACCGTAGCTACCTAAGCCAACACTAGTCAGATCCACAGTGTAAATAGAAAATGGCGTCTGTCGCATCGCACCTGTCGCACCTCTCAGAAGATGTTCGCAGAGTTCGTTTTTTCACGGCAGCACTTGTGTGTTTCCGTGCAAAGCATCGTGCTCAAGAGCGAATAATTTTGGAGCAGAGACGAGTTATTATGCGCCAGCTTCAGGACATTGAACTTCAATTAATATCAAACCATTTCAAGCTGATCGCTGCAGCGTCTTTGCTGAGCACAACGCCTCGATCTTGGTGGTGTTTCCGTCGTAGTCAGCACTGGTTTGAAGAAACGCAACCAAATCTTGGGGAAGCATACTTCAAAAGGTGCTTTCGCGTCTCGGCTGCCACGTTCCGTTACATTGTGGAGTTGTGTCGTACCGACATGCAGCGGGTGGACACAACAATGAGAGAGGCAATATCAGTAGAAAAAAGAGTAGCCGTCTCACTCTACCGCTTGTGCTCTGCTGCCGAAGACCGCACCATCGCCGAACTGTTCGCGATTGGCCGCTCTACTGAGAACTTGCTCTACAAAGAGTTCTGTACGGCCGTACTGAAAAACCTGGAGGACGACTGGGTGAAGATGCCTTCGCCAACCGACATGGAGGAGCATATGAGGGAATTTTTTGCAGTCACAGGATTCCCACAAGGTGTTGGGGCGCTCGACGGCTGCCACTTTCCAGTGTCACCGCCAAAGAAATATGCTTCGGACTACTACAATTACAAAGGCTGGTAAGTTGGGAAGGCCTGTTCATCGTTCATTAAATTGTCTTTACATTTAGTGCATTCATTTATTAACAGTCGATGCCTCGTGTTTCAAATGAAATATGTTGGTGTGTGACTGGAAAGTTTTCTGGATAATTAGCAGTACTGACTGCAATATTGCTGTTATATTTGCAGGTATAGCATGATCTTGCTGGCTCTAGTGGACCACCGGTACCGCTTCAGGTACACAAACGTCGGCTCCCCAGGGCGGTGCCACGACTCGTTTGTGTACGGATTATCCGTACTCTGCAAAGTTATTGAAAGCGGATCTTTCGAACGCCCAACAGCAACAATCGAAGGAGTTTGTGTGCCTCCAATAGTGCTGTGTGACCAGGCATTTGCTCTATCGCCAAACCTGCAGAAACCATATGCGAATGCACAGCCTGACACACAAGAAAGGGCATACAACTATAATCTGTCAAAGAACAGAAGGACTGTAGAAAATGCATTTGGCCGTTTGAAAGCCAGGTTTCGTTTCATTATGAAACGCATGGAGTGCAAGCTCGCCACCACTACCCTGGTTATTAAGGCATGTTGTGTTCTTCATAACATCTGTGAAGGTTTTCAGGATTACGTAGAACCACATTGGGAACAAGAAGTAGCATTGTGGAATGCTGCTTAGAGGCAGCCAACTTGTACATCGAACGCATCTAGCAAAAACGGTGAAGACGTAAGGAAAGCGTTAGCGAAATACTTCTTTGCTAGAACTCAGCAGTCACAGTCTCAGGTAGCTGAGGTAATCTTGTGCCTGCAGCAGTGAAACTGTTTTTGAAGAATATATGCACCATTTACGGCCTTCATACACTGCGTCAAAGCTGTAGTATGTTTGTGTTTGGTACAAAATAATACCTGGAGTTTAATGCCCCAAAACCACGATATGATCGTGAGGAATGCCGTAGTGATGGGCTCCGGAAATTTAGACCACTTGATCTGTTTGTCAGCTGTTAAAGTGTTTTTTAATAACGGCAAGCACATTGCTCACCTGTACTTGCTTCACTGATTTCAAAGCATCACCAAGCACCCCATGTTTTTATTGTTTGCTATTTATGGCACATGTTTTTTACTTCACAAAAGCGTTGAAAGTGTGAGATTAGGCCTTTGTCAGAGGGTGTTTTTTTAATTGCTCTAAATACTGTTCAACCAACTTGTATACCATGCATAATTCTTTTGCTCATAATTTTGTATTTTATAAGGTAAGGTCATTTATCATTATTGTGCTTCAAAAGAAACAAGTAACGCAGCAAACTCTATAAGCTTTTACCATTCAAATGGCTTTTTTAAAGTGACACCTATATCCCCTGCACATTTTGGCAGGTGGCTGTGCATTGTATTTCATTTCTCTGTAATATTGTAGTCTTTACTACAATATTGTAGTCTTTTGTAGTGAAGAGTGCATTTTTGAAATCCTTGTACATATTTTAATGGTTTATCTCGAACCTTTGTTTTCATTTAGTATACAACCATTTCCCGTCTTTTAGTCACGTTTGATGCACATTTAGTCCACGTGCATGACCTCAGTGTTCGGTTGCTTGCTGCACACATATTTATTTAGTATGTTTATTCTGACTCACTTGCCAAACGTTTGTCAATCTGCACTTTGTGGCTTTTTTTAGTCATTGTCATAGTTCTTGTAAAGAAGTGAAAGTTTGATTAGTTGAGTTGATAAAGAGTTGCACAATCATGTGATGTTTTCAGAGTTATTAAACGTGTTTTATACTGTTTATAGGAATAAAAATGCACAAATTTGTGCATTACAACTTCAATTTAGTGTTGCCCAGTGAGAACTCTCTATAAGCATACATAAACGCATTTGTTTCAATTCAATTCAATTCAATTTTATTCAATTTGAGATTTATTTTTCTGTACGTGCAACAGAAAAAAACGAAGCAAAAGCAAAAGGCTGCATAGCCTGACGGAGGCTTTTGCTCCGAAATACAGTCTGGCAAAATAAAATAAAATAAAAACTAAAAATAACATGTCATACACAACTTAGCCGCAATTAGAGAACATCATTATATACAGATACAATTTGCAAATTCTGATCACACATGTAACCATCACAAATATAAAGAAAGAACAGGACAGTAAATAGTAATGAAATACCTAAAAAAACATCGCAATATATACTATAAGTGAGGTAAGGAAAGCATCTGGAGACACATACACACACATCTGGAACCACACACCCAAGAATTTCTGTACCTTGACTTGTTCTAAAGTCTGACCCTCAAAGGAGACACTTAGACTTATATTCCGTGGCTTATTAATGGGTGCCAACAATATATATTTAGTTTTACTCGCGTTTAGCCGCAACTTGTTTAGTTTAATCCAGGAAGACAACTTTTTTAGATATGTGTTTACAGACTTTTCAAGTTGAGAGATCGATGAACCAGCAAAAAATATATTGGTGTCGTCAGCATACATGATTAACTTAGGAGAATCCGGAATGCTACATAAGTTATTTACATAAACTATAAACAACAGAGGACCAAGTATCGATCCTTGTGGGACACCTTTGTTGACCCTCGCACGGGGAGATGTCTCTTGATTAATAGCGACATACTGATAGCGGTCTGTTAATAATTTTGAATTAACCTATTGGCAACGCCACGGACACCGTAGTTATTAAGTTTTTCTAAAAGAACACTGTGGTGCACGGTGTCGAATGCTTTGCGGAAGTCAACAAAAAGACCAAGAGTATATAGCTTATGCCAAGCCTTCGGTTTCTGCACCAAGACATCTTAATTTCTCGGTGGGAAAAGTGCATACTAAACTGCAGTCAGCAAAGCGGTATTTGCTATCAAATGTTAGGGTAACAGCATTAGTGTAAGTGTGAAGGCACCAATAAAAGCACGGTAGGAGGACTCTAGGTTATTGCGACATGCAAGGAATCGGTGTGCGAATTTATGTCACCGGCTTTTATTTTGATTTCTTAAGCACGATAGAACTCGTTTGCCTACAACAATTTTGATATTTTTTGCATTCACTTAGTGATGTAACGTGTAAGTTGCGATTCAGAAGTTTAGAGACTATTAAAACATAGTAGCAGGGCTCTTTTATTAGGCTGCACGGAAATCAGTGCTGCCTAATACTCGTACTGTATCGCTTAAGAAATGCACAATTACAAAGGCAACCTAGTATTTATTGAATAAATATTTCTTTAAGGCCTTCATTATTCAAGGAACTTTTGAAGAATATCAATCAGCTTTTCTTCTCTTTTAGCTGCTTCCTTATGAAGCTTCAACTCTTCATTTTGTAGCTCGATTTCTCGTGCTTTGCACTCTTGCCACATTCCTCTGAACATCTTTTGCTCTGTAACCATTTCCATGATTGCAGAATTGGGGCCAGCTCGTGTCCTTTTTTTTTTTTTTTGATGCAGCTGGCTGTGCCGCAGTTGCTCCAGCTTCCGCTGGTGACGATTCCCTGCATTGCGGAAGGCTTTCCACGGCAGGTGCGGCTGTCTCCACCGGTCCAGTTGCTGCAGTTTGCTCTAAATTAGCAGTACTTGTGGCAACGGTGGCACTTGAAGATTCTGGCACTTGTATCACCACCTGCATCTCGGCCTCCCTGCCAAGAAGCTCAAGCTCGCTCAATACATTCCCCGTTTCCATACTGCGTACGATCTGCGAAAAGTTACATAAATATTAACAGTAGTGTCACAAAGGCTGGACACATATTAGAGACACCATTCGTTGCAACTTGCACCAGTGCTCAGGGTAATGTACATGCTGACGAAGCAGTAGACAAATACACATTTACGCACATAAAGCAATGCAAACACTGCAATTTTATGTGTGTGATGATGTCCGTTTGTGCAATGCTTTTTGAAATCGTCGTGGCTCACCAAGTAACCCATCGGCACATATAAGGTAGATACCAACCTGTGAAACGGAGAGGCTTTCGCAGTTGCTTTCAACAGCAAGTGTAGCGTCATTTACCGGCAGACTCCCAAGGAACTGGTGGATTCGCCAATAAAATGACCACGTGACCGCACCAGAACCTGTAGTTCTGTTTTTTTAGAATAATCTGTAATAAACGAAAGTGCAAGCTTAGTAGTAGTGACAGAAGCAAGTCGAAACGATTCTCTGGGCTTGTGTATGACACCATTTTATGACACCAGGCTTTGAACAGTGGAATAGGTTGAATTGTTGTGCATACTGCGTGTGATAATCCAATTCGATAACAGTATCCAATGGCAAGACGACTGCACCAATTTACACAGAGTCCATTCTTGGTAGTCGCACTAAAAGATAAAAAATCCTAGGTACACAAGGTATGTCTAGAGTTAATGTTTTCACAAGTGGACCTGTATTCTGTAGGATTTTAATTCCTGAGGACAGGTCCGTTTGTTAAAGTGTTGGCTTCAGGAACATCCTGTCTTTCAAGGTTTTTTTTTTTTTTTCATCGCTTCAAAATTTTATCTCCGACTGAACTTGCCAATAAAGGCACCTGAGAGAGGCCATGAGGACGAGCTAATAACTCATCTATAATGTTGCCCCGGAAAGGCAATACAATCAACGCGGGTACAAATTTGTTTAAATTGACAACTAAATAGGCATATCAAGTGTTTTTATGTGGGACACCTAGCCAAATCACACCTAAATGGTCGTAAGGGGCAGAGCTTTTTCGCGACGTTTTCCGCGAACATTTGGTTGGTTAGAAGTGTGGCAGTTTGGGCTAGTTGGTATGGCATGACGATAGTTATCACGCGAGAACAAAACGACGACACAGAGACAGGGAGTGCCCTTGTCTCTGTGTCGTCGTTTTGTTCTCGCGCTATAACTATCGTCATTTGGTTGGTGGCAGCATTGACATGCACGGCGTAAGCTCCTCGGCAGTACACAGGCATGATATTCAAGTCAAAATGCTCACCTGTACTTGCTTCGCAGATTTTCAATTTTAGTATGTACTTGGGCTCGTGTCCTCACGATGCCGTACCTGGCCAGCGCTTCCGTAATGGCAGAGTAAATTTTGGCATTCCGCTTTTGACCACGAAGGCCTGAAAGGTGTTCTTCCCAGAGCGTAATCAAAGTCATCGTCTCCTCTTCTGTCCAGCTCGCGTGCTCGTTGGGACACGTCATCTCTTCTTTTATTTCTTCTTTGTTTAAGCGGAGCGAAATGGCGCGTGCGGGTTGGCGGAAGATTGGAAAGCAAAGAATGAAAATTGATGAAAAAAGCAGAGAAAGTCACGGAGAAAGTGAACTTGATGGCGATGAAAATACCAGTGTTGCATGCTTGTTTGCCAAAGTTTCGCTAAAATTGACAAGCCTTTCATTATCAATACTTTATTTTCTTCGTATAACGTTCAAAGCATCTTTTTAAGACTTTAGTGCAAATAAAAGACGGGAAATTTTATTTTTAGCTCAATATGATTTGTTTTATATACTTTCAGGTAAATCGCACTTCGCGAGCTGTGTCGTCGAGAGTAGGCATTTCTCAGTCAACTGAGTTCTGGCGAAGGCAGTTGGTGGCGAATGGCATTCGGATGAATGCCATTTTGTTCGCCCGTGTGGCACCGCGCGAATGGCAATAAATCTGAAGGCATTCGGGGGTAAATGCCATTTTTTCTGCCCGTGTGGCACGGGTATCACTCCATGCAAGAATATAGAACAGATATACGTTACTAATAATACATTTCAGAGAGATCGTCTAGAGCGGGAAAGTCGTCAGGCTGTGGCTGTGCACACTCCTCATATCCACAAGAGACGCACTGGTGAGGGAGAATGGCGAGAGCTGCTCCTGGAGGAGGTCACATTCATCATCCTCGACATTTCCGTATTGTGACAGCTTGAAGAGTTTTCTTATGCAGATGTGCTTCAGGCCACAAATAAATTGTGCTACATTGGGGTTGGTGTTGCAACCCTGTTTTTGCCTAATGTGGCCAAATATGTTCTCCAGAGGATCCTGTTGAAGCCTGCGTGTTAACAGGTATTCAAAATTGTAATTTTTGGAGAGGTCGTCCCATAGTTGACAAATCGCTTGAATTGTAATTTGCCAACCTACGATGGTTTGTGGTTGACGTCTGCCAACAAACTGCCATGGTGCAATCCAGGGAAGCTGGCCTCGGAGGAAGTCAATCAGCTCTGAATCATTTTTCATGATTGCATGTCGAAGATTTTGCGAAGTTATTTTTTTACTCGAGCTGTTCAAGGCATCGAAAATCCTGTCCATACTATCACAAAATTGAGCTGTAGTGATGGCCGAGGCAGGCAGCACCTTCGCATACACCATTGCCGTGATAGCAATCGAAACTGATGCACTGAGGACCTGAGTTGCTCTGCTGACCTTCATATTAGAAAAAGGTTTCTGATGAACGTGCCGTTCAGTCAACTTTGGAGCCAATCGCAACCGCAACTCATGTGAGGATTGGTAAAGGCTTACAATGTGCGACCAGTTAGCGATGTCATCCCCAATGTATAACTTGTGTGCTTGGACATTATAGTGCGTTGTTTTAATTAAATGCGGAACATCAAAAATGTAATACACCCGCTCACCATTAACTTCAAAAAAAGGCTTTGCTACAGTGACTCTTAGTTGGTTAGCGAGACTTACATTTGAACTGCCCTGATCACAAATAACTGCAACAGAATCGAAAGTTGGGCTAGTTGGATATGCATGGTATAACTATCATTTAAAGCGCACGAAAAACAGACATAAAGAGAGGACAAGCGCTTGTCCTCTCTTTATGTCTGTTTTTCGTGCACTTTAAATGATAGTTATATCACAAATAACTGCTTTCACTGCAATATTAATGCTCCTAAGC